GCACATAAGGAGTGAGGCAAGTGCCTTGAGTCGGGCGCTGAGTGACTGCATGAAACACCCCATTCATAATATTTCCTTAGAGTTTGGGGGGCTCGTCTACTGGCACCCCTAGGGAGACAATTAAATGCAGCGAGCACAACCTGTGAAACTCACGTGTCAGTCATCTTGTTTAGAAATACAGGAAGGTATGGTGCCATGGCAACAGCGAGCCCCCTGAGGGGGGGGCGCAGACACTGGCATGTGTTCAGCGTGTTTCTAAACACGTGAGAGGATGAGTCAGGGCTGGAAACCCACTGCTTATGCTCAGCTCTGCTGCATCTCACCCTTCGACTAAACAGCGGCTGGCTTCAGATCCAGGAGGACTGCTGATGTCACTCCATAAAACTTGGTGCAAAGGCTGCAGGACTGTTATAGCAACAGGTACAAAGCCAGAAGCAAAATAAACTGCTCTGTGATCCACATTTTACTCTTTCTCAACCACCACGGCCCCAGCAGGAGGAGGATGGGAGGGGGGTGACAGGAGTCAGCTGCTACTGGGCTCGAGATGTGCAACGTCAGAACAAAGGAAACATTGTCCAACTGGATTTTGCGCTCTCACTGTGCATCAGGAGGTGATGCAGGGCTGGAAAGGCATGAGCTAAGAGTGCACCTTATTTCCAGTAAGCGCAGGGAACGATGTATTATTCACAATGCCTGTTGACATTTCCTTCCCACAAACTCCTGTGTTTGTCCTCCTTGACAACAGGCAACAGTCCTTCTGAACATATTATGGACAACCAGCCCAGACTGCCCAGGCTACTGTGGATTTATAATGTGTTTAAACTGTTTGTTCTACTCATGTAAACCTTTATCCTTATTTAAAAAAAAAAAAAGAATGTGAAGCATTTATCTTAACGTACAAACGACTAGAATGTTTCAGTACAGAATTGTGTCATGAAACCAAGGATCTTTTATTGGAGTTTAGTATGCTTTTGACTCTGATTAAGGCTTGCAGAACTGGAAGTATGAGCTTTTTATCTCCATGTGACTAAATAAACATTACAACAACATGGGCAACACACTGGACTGCACTAAATCACAATTTCTATTCCACCTTCAGCTGCCTTATGAGATCCTTGCTTGATGGTAGAAGCAGAAAGTTCTGTGCCTCTGATATCTTGACCCTATTTACAAAAATGTAAAACAAAATCACAGCTTCTTCTCTTCAATTACGAGAGTTTTCTCTCCATCCCCATAATGTTTCCTCACATTTGTCCATTAAGAAGAGAAGATATTACCTAATTTAATTTATACTGTAACAATACAGAATAAGTCACAATAAAATCCTGTATGGTGCTCTGTTATAAACCCCAGCAGAGGTGCAGAGCAGCCAAGTCTGTATCCATGCAGGTCAGACACTTTGTTAAGCAAAATGTGCCAAAATTTCAAAATCACAGAGGCAATCTGTTCTACGATCTTGTGCAACGACCTCCCTATTCTAGACATTTAATATCACAGTTTCCTTTTTTTCTATGCACTCTGAGGTCTCTGTTAATCTCCTGAAAGATGCTGGGTGTAAGGAACATACTGTAATATCAAATAATGAGGTTTGGGAAGAGGTTATGTACGACATTCACTGGTGGTCTATTAATGCCAGACATCAGGACACAAAGTCATGCAGTACATCAAATTCATTACTCTAAAACGAAATTGAACAAAATAAATTTGTCAGTTTGTCCTTTACGTGACAAGAGTAGCCCTTTAGAAAGCACTCTCTCACATCTCTCCTGGCTGTGTCCCATGTTGTAGAACGTTTGTGTCGTTATATTGCGCTGGTACTCAGGAAGTGCTTGGGAAGGATACACCCCTGAACTAGACCTCTTTGGTGGTTCAGAGGCAACCTTTTTGCTCAGCCTAGCAAAAGGAGAACAATCGGCACAGATCTTCAGAACGGTTGTGGCCGAAACAAACATTCGTAACGAACTGAAATGGGTCATTGGACCCTGTGTCAACAGCTGGCTCGGTAAGATGCCCACCCCTATTACAATTGAGAGGGTTCCTTTACTCAGCTGTTACTCAGAAAGCTTTGTAGCCATCCCTGATTGTTTTGCACATCCAGTCATTCTGTGATTACTTCTGTCATAGATTTTGACTAATTCCCACCTCAACAAGAAAACTGTAAAAAAGCATAAGCAAGTTTGAGCTGTTCGTTTTGCTTTGTCTGACGGTGGGGTTTTTTTAGGTGTTTTTATGTATTTTGTTTCTTAGTTTTTGATAATCTTGTTGACATTTTTACAATATCTTAAATATTTAAAACAGAGTCCCGTCACCTGGTCAACACGGATCAGGCCTGGTTATTACAGTGCAGGGGCAGGAGAGAAAGTGAGGCACGTCAGTGCGTTGTATGGGTGGCAGGGGTGGTAAGGTTGAGGGAGGATTCACCTGTATCACCCACATCTGCTCACTTTCCATTGGTTAACTTCAGATAACGTGAGGAAAGCAAAACACAGAAGATTTACAAATTCTAATTTTTTTTGCCCCTTTTTCCCTAACTTAAAAGAACATGTAATTGCCTCTGTCTGCTAGAACAAACCTCTTCTGAATTATAAAGCTCCAGTCTAACCTAAATCTTTCTCACAGTCATACCCCCTGAAGAGTTCATCTAGGTCACGGCCCAGGTGTGAAATAGACTAAAAACAGCCAGGGTCTGCTCAAGGCAACAGAAGTTGTTGTGCTTTACACAGCTCCAGCTACTCACCAGAGAGGACAGCATAGCACATTCTGTTGCAATGCCAGCAACTAACTGAATGTTACTAGTAATTTATCATAGGTCAGTTATTGGACAACTCAGATAAAAGCTATATCACTCTGCAACTCACTGAAGCTCAGCAGGTGTGAGCCTGGTCAGTAACTAGATGGGAGACTCAGCTAAGATCGCACCTGGAAGAGGTATTAGAGGGGCCAGCAGGGGGTGCTCACCTTGTGGTCTGAGTGAGTCTTAATGCCCCAGTATAGTGAGGGGGATACTATACTGTAAATAGGCGCTGTCCTTTGGATGAGACGGAAAACCAAGGTCCTGACTCTCTGTGGTCAATAAAAATCCCAGGGCGCTTCTCAAAAAGAGTAGGGGTGTTACCCTGGCGTCCTGGCTAAATTTCTTCATAAACCCATGATTACCAATCATGGCTTCCTAATTATACCCATTTATGGATTGGCTGCATTACTCTGGCCTCTTCCTCAGTGATACTGTAGCTGGTGTATGGTGAACGTTCTGGCGCACTATGGCTGCCGTCACATCAACCAGGTGGGACTGCACACTGGTGGTGGTGGAGGAGAGTCCCCATGAGTGGAGTGTCCAAAAAAGCACTATGTAAGCATAAAGAATGTATTATTATTGTTGTTGGTTCAGTCATAAACCCAGTCCTTTAGTTTTGCCAACAATGGCTTACAACAGTTATTTGAAAAATGTCTTAAGGTGGTTATTTTCCAAACTGGAGATGGAAGATGGAACTGAAATATTTTAGTGTGATAAATAGGCTGATTTACTTTAAGCACTCACCAGGGTGGAACGGCTGAAATTTGGTGCACCCTTCCAGATTCATGGGTTTCATAGAACCCTGACAGGGAAATTGCTGCAGCATTTTCTCCTTCTGAAGTAATTCGCTGAAGTTATTTATATAGGTTACATGACACTTAACCTGGACGTTGGATGTCACCAAACAAATCCTTTCATGCTCCAGAGGTATTTTTACTCCACACCACCAAATGCTATTTCATGGAATATTCAGGCTCATGACATGGGCTGTGTGGTGTGGATTAATGGGGTGTCGTAAATGAATATTTTAGTTACAGCCATTCAAAAAGATTTGTTATTACTCCTATAGCTACAAATCTCTCACTGACAACACCACAAGACTGCATGCACGCAGGAGGCCACAGGGGTTGCTCTGTTGCCAGGAGAGCTGTGACTGACTAATATCACTCTACCTACTCATGGTTACAGTCAACTAGTAGCCAGGTTTGAACCTGTAATCAAAGAACTCAACCCGAGTCTGGGCAAGTGACTTTACTAGTTGAGCCATTTAGGAATCCACAAGAGAAGAGAAGGCTTCTATTACCATTTTCTGTGTTTTCTGGTAGGGAGGTACTGTAGTTCAAGGAGGTAGCTGCGTCAGCATGCATAGGCTACAAAGGAACAAGTAAAGGTTTATTCCATGCTGAAAAAATAAGAAAGGAAACACAACATTTTGCCTGTGGAGCATTCTTCGGGTGTGAAGAAGGCTGAAACGTTGTGTTTCCTTCTCTTTTCAGCATGGAATAACTTCCTTTACTTGTTCCATGTGAAATGTATAATTGAACTACGCAATATTCTTAGCAGTCAGTATCTACATGTTCATTCCCATTTTGATGTTATTAACCAAATTTCCAGTGCTCGATACTGTAGTTGTGTAATGATTACAGCCTGGGTATAGAGACTAGTGTCAGGTAGCATGAAGCCAAGCAATGCTACTGTATATATCTTATACAAGAGGTGCACCAGTGTAGTATTACATACAGATCTGCTTTGACAGAGATTTAAAATCTTAAAAAAAATTCCAGAATCACAGGCAATACTGCTAGTTCTTACACTATTATATGTTATATGGTTCTGTGTAAAATGAAGAACAATATTAGATAATAATTACCTCACGTAAAATGGTAAACAATTTTCTTCTCTCCTTATTCCACCAATACAAAGGTAAAGAGCAAAGTGGTTGTAAACACTGTCACAACGAAGAAGGGTAAGGCCACAGTCAGAAAGTCATATTAGATAGAGAACTCAAAATTGCCAAACACAACTTTGAATTCCGTCATGTCAAAGTCCTTGTAAACTTTTGTCTGACTGATTTCTATTCCAGTATGTTGTTTTCTGCTCAATTTCCAGACCCAGGAGAAACATTTCTCAAGGCTAGAAGTGTATAAAAACAAAACCTGCAAACATTAGAAGGTACTTGACCAGAGAGACTCATGCAATCACTGACCTTGAACCTCTGCCAGTTTTGTAGGAAATGAACTGGGTCTGAAAGCTGCAACAACAAAAAAAAAAAATACACACAATATAGCTTTATCTGTGGATAACAGCACCACTTACGTTCTTTGCGTTTTTTGGGGTGTTTGAGCAATGGGTTTCCGTGCGTCAGCCTTGAGCTGAAGTAAACTTGGTGGGCCTTTATTTACTGAGATTCCCGTCTACTGCTCTTTGCCCTGAACCTCATTATGAAATGGTAAAAAAAAAACCTAAAGTACAGTAGCTGTATTTTTAGAAGCACCCTGCCCTTCCCAGGTCCTGAGATATGTACAAAACAACCTCCGGGAACAGTCCCTACCCTCTCTGCAGCACTCCAGCGTGGGGCTTACGTGAGTATCTCCTGCATAACTCCACAACACAGTGCCTGCCTGCGCTTACCGGCAGAACAGTACAGAGAAAATGTTCTGTTTGTGCCTCTCGACAGCAGGCATTCCAGGATTTGAGTTTCATGAAACCCAGAGCGAGGTGTCACTACAATTGATAGCCGAAATGGTGTTGTGTGATGTGAGCCAGTCCTACATAGTAAAAGCAGAAGCTTCTACTTGGCTTGCAATATTCGAGAAGCCAAAGCAAGGTTTGCAGAATTTAAGTATGACCTATAATAATAACAACAACATATTAAAGACAAATATTAGCTTTTTAAAGGACTCTACTGTAATTGCAGGCTAACATTTCAAAGGCAAATTATTTGCCATATTTAATGAAATTGATCCATAAGTAATGTCAGTTGTACTTGATAAATTGTAAAATCTCCAGTGATATAAAAAAACCATGACGCAAACAAAAGCCAAAGTCATTAAATACTGACAAGGTGACAGTTACGTTTCTATACAAAGAATGATAGATATATAGAGTAATGCATTTAAATTCAGTACCAATCACTAACACCTGTTGCTTTTCTGCATCTAATGAATGTGTCTTCTTCCTCTGAATTGAAAAGATTTATGAGTTGTTTTTTTTAATGAGAAACATGTGTGTGAATAGCCAAAGTGACTAACTGAGCTCTTACGAAGATAAAATGCAGTACGGTTTAGGTGTATAACTGTGATCATACCTGTATTTACCAGCAGAACAGCAAAGAGAAAATGTTCTCTATGTGTGCATACAGTATAAACATTATGCATGTTTAACTAAATGTACCGTACATTGTATCAGGGCAGCTGTTTCAAATGGTTCACTCAATTGTTCACAGCCAGGACAATTCATGCCAGGCACTTTTTTCTTCAAAAGAAGACTGTATCACCTACAAATACTTAGTGCTCTTGTTGATCCGGGATCCCCATGAATGCATCATGCTTGCCCAACTGTTTTTAGTTACAGTATGTGCATAAGGTGTCCTGCCATTTATATTGGGAGGCATGGAAACCATCAGAGCAGCAAGGATCTAAATTCTCTCCAGACTGTTTGTCCACTGTGTTACCTCCCCTAAGCATTACCACACTGATCTCTCTGTATCCTTTCACATCGATTCAAAGCGAAGAAAGACATCTTAAGCCAAAATCTTCCATAGATTGGATTCACACATTCTCTTTCTAATCGTTTCAATTCACAGATTGCTGCCTTTCACACTTCCCCTTGGAAACTATCACTCAGATTATTATCTCACTGTTCTGCTTTATCTTTAACTCCAGTTATTCTCATCTTTTCTCTGATCATCACGTACACAGACAGTCTCATAGTGCTATACTGAGCTAGTTATTAAAGCATGAGGAGTAACAGATTAATAGTGGTAATGAACACAGGTACAATCACTTATTTGTAATTCAGCTGAAGTTCTCCCTCATGTATAATACTTCTGACCCTGGTTATAAGATGCAGTTTTTTAACCTTCTTTCTTATGTACCAGCACAAAAAATAATGTGCCCTGTGACAGTTCAAAACGTCAGCGTGCATAAACTGCAAAGGAACTGGTTATGCGTTTATTCCCTGCTGAAAAGAAAAGAAAGGAAACGCAATGTTTCAGCCGTGGAGCCTTCTTCGGGTGTGTGATTAATAATTAGCCCTTCTTCTGGCTTGAATCAACTAAAAAATTGTTTTTTGAAGGATCCAGTTCGTAACATAACTTGATTTTACTGTTCCATAAGAACATAAGGTGTACAAACGAGAGGACGAGTTGGTTTATCTTGCTTGTTTAGTTGGAATAGCTACTGTACCTCTTGTTGCTAAAGGCCAGGATATCAGCTGGGACACTGTGTAGCTTGTTCTCGACTCACTTCAAACACATTTCTCCTATGGAATCACTGATATTCCACAATAAAAATAAAAGCACAAAGTAAGAGACAGTTCTCTCTCATTTAAATCCACGGGGGTCACTTCTCATCTAGAAACTGCCAATTTAGAAACAGTATGGGTGTGAGAATGGTTTGTTTTGGTAATCTTTCATATTACAGATTTCCACTTCACACATCCGTTTTAAAATATCCCCCACACAGCTTTTTTTCCCCACACCATACTCAAAAGACCCCGTAAGGTCAGAAAATGACTGAAACCAGCTGGAAACTGTTCAGGTAGCATGGAAAGACTGTGGTCTGAGGAGGTCACATTTTGTTCTGTTTCTCCTGTTCTTGCTTGTGTTTTCCTGCGTTGATGTCATTTCTTTTTCCAGTGCTCACCAGCAGAATAAATGAATGCAGAACAGGAAAGAAATATCCCATGATGTTGTGTAAAATTATGCCTTTAGAAGAGGAATCGGTTCGCATACTCTTCTCCATAGAAAAGGTGATGTCAGTGAGGATTTTTTCAGGGAAAACTTGCACTGTAGTTCCAAAGATACAGCCACCCAAATGTCAAAATTGACTTTCCACAGACAAAAACCTTATAATAAAAAAGTCATAATTTACTCGAAACTTTCTAGGAATACAGTTTTACTGTATTCTAAATACATTCCAAACCTGCTATAAAACTGAACTCCAAACTGTATTTGCAGTGAGCCCAAGGCTTGGATAAGAGATTGCAGATACTGTACTTGTATATAAGTAAATGTTTTTTGCTTCTTTCCTCTTAAATAATTATTCATTGAACTGTAGGGAAAAAATTACTGCTAATGTATTTCTGGCAGCAGTCAGGTGTTTTCAGCTCCCAAATTGGTGCTATCAGCTTTGATTAAAAATAAGGAGTTTTATCAGGTAGAATGGAAGCTGAAGAGCCTCAGAGCTGCTTTTAAGTTACATTATGTTGCTGCGTTGCTTTGGGTACAAGGTGTATGTCCAGTTTTGTTTAGTGTTTAGTGTTTAGTGCCTCCATGACTCCACCATGTTCTGAGATGGAACAGGAAATTTTCAAGTTTCTTGATGCAGAAAACGTCAATGCACCAAAGAGTCTGCTTTGTTATTCTTCTACCATCTATCTTTCCGGATCTTTCATGGTGAAAACTGAACGATATGGTTCTCTAAGTAAAAGCCTTGTATTATTAATATCTATTTGTGATAAAAATTAATTTCATATTCTTTTTCAGTTCACCCCCACTCTTCCTAGGCTACTTTGTATTAAAGTGCAAATCCCATTTAGTTTTCTGATTTTAATGGAGGTGATATACCAGATAAAGTGAAATACAGTTCTTCCATTATTTGCCAATTAGGAACTTTATCAGCTGTTCAGTTTTTCATAGTCCCAGTGCAATGAGAGTAAAATAAAAAATAATTGATACGTTTTCTGGGGATTAGGAAACAGCTAAACTGGGTGTTGCAGTATTAAGAAAAAAAGAGTGTAAATGGAGCAGAAAATAAGGAGCAGACAGTAATAGGAGGAGACTACAAAGTAAAAAAAACCTAGGGATAAGATAACTTTACACTGAAAGGAAGGAGCATAGTCTGAGGACAGGTGCTAGACAGGAAGCTAACCAGCTGTTTGCCTGTTGAAGGCTTTTTCTTGTCCTGACACCACATTGTGAACTTCATCTTAGATTTCACAGTCAAAGGGAAGTGTGTAGTAATGTCTTCAGAAACACAAACTATACATTCTATACAGTCTGCCTTTCCTTTTTAGAGCCCCATGCCCATGTTCAGCTGTTTAAATGAAACCAGAAGCCATTCAGGTTGTAAGGTGATCCCTGTTCCCGAAAGACATACACACAGTGGTATAAAACTGGTAGACGTGGAGATGACTGGAATGGTCTGATTGTGGACACCAGTTCTCAATTCTGAACACAGCACAGCTTTAAAAGAACCTACCTACAAGCTGGTTTCCCAAGTCAGGACAATAACATCATTTTGAGGCTCTGAATGAGCCTCCTTTCATCCCCAGGGTGGATCAATAGAATGCACTCTGGTACAGGGGGAAATTGTAGTTATACTGTACTCTATAGGGGGGATAGGGGAAAATTCCAGTACTGTGCAAAAGTGTCGAATCCATATAATTTTGTCATTTTAGATTACAAATAACTCCAGGATAGCATAGTTAGATACAGCAAAAGGGTTTCTGGAGAATAATTGAAAAAGTGTTTGAGAAGGAAGGGCCATCACAAAAGTCTGCTATGAATCCAATTAAGGCCAGCTAGCATCTGCAAAAACTAAGTGTCCTAACCGCTTTGTGGAATGCTTTACATAACATGTGGTTCCTTTAAACAATATTTCCATTTTACACCAACATAATGACTAAACGTTTGGAGAATCTCGGAAAAGAAGAAGGTGGAAATAATATACTCATCAAAACTATGACTTACTAATTTTCTCTCCTAGCCTGTTCATGGTGGTTACGTTATATTTAAACCTAGAAGATATGCAATTAAAAAGAACAGTAAGTAATGCTTTTGAACAGAATAACCCAGATGTTTGTATAGCACTGTCTGTCGCTGCACAAGGACAGGATGATCCATTGAGTCTAAAGCTTTCAACATGCCTTATGGTAGAATTTGACAGGTTACTAGTAAGTTACATTTTGTCTGTCAGAAAACCAAAACAAAACATGAAAACCGCTTCTAACCTACAGTAGTAGTCAGTGATATCAGAGTAATAACATGATAAGGAGGGAGTAATCTGAGCATCTGTGATACAGTATATA